CTTCTCATGATAAGCCTGACTTCAATGTCTGGCAGATTATCCTGCCTGCTCTGTAAACAGCCCTCATCAGTGGCTGCTAAATGGAGATCAAATCGAAGAGAAACAGACTTTTTCCTCAATCGGGGGTTGTCTTTAAAGAATGAACCTTCCCATTCTTTTATAACTTCATCCACTTTCTCTGTCCTGAAATGAGAAAATACACTTTTTTACAGAAGAAATAGACACAATGTACAGCTCATATTTATGAATAAAAATATGTATAATTAATAGGTTGTGAGATTTTTAACAATTTATATTTGTTTATTTTATTTTATGTGTGTGTTTTGTCTGTCTGTCTGTCTATATGTACGTATGTATACCAAGTGGTCCATGCCTGGTACCCACAGAGGTCAGAAGAGGATGTCAGATTCCCTGGAACTGGTATTGAATGGTTGAGAACCACCAGGTGCTCTTTACCATAATCATTTCTCCATACCCTGTGGAATTTCTAATTGACACAACTTTAACAACCATCAGAGTATAAATCCTTAATATGGAATTCTGTAGAATTTCTACACAATTCTTTTATATTTATTTATTTTCTTTTTAGAAAGGGTCTTGCTATAGAACCTGGCTGTTTTAGAACTCACTATGTAGATCAGGCAGGTCTCCAATTCACAGAGATCCACCTACCTTTTCTTTCCAGGTGCTGGGATTCTACACAATTCTTAGGTTCTGATTTTAGTTGTAGAAAAAAGGATGAATTATTTTCACACTCTTATTTGTGCTATATGTGTATATTCATATCTGTCTGAAAAATCACAGTATATTGAAAGTATTTGAAATATTTGAAAAAGACTGCTAAGCTGCTCAGTTGAGTGAATCCCATCATGTTTAATATTATTTTATAGTCCAAGCTGTTTTACTTACTGAATGGTGCCGTGAGCCTCCGCACTCTCCTTCACGTTTCCATTTAGCACTGCCTGTTTGGTCATTGTTTCCGTATTATCATTCTCATACTTTTGTGAGACTTTTGTTGAAAAAGATATTTCATTTATAATGGCTGTGAAAATGTTACATTAAGTTACAATTTTGAGAAAAAAGGAAAATAGAGAAGAGGGAGATCACAACATTGAAATACTGAAATTCCCTCTTTTTCTGCTTTGGAGAAGTTTCTGTACATTCTCCACAAATAACATGTCTATTTTCAAATGAGTTTATTGTGTGGAAAACTCACCTGAGGGGAGAAGAAAGCCAACTTTACTCCTGGTAGGTTTTTCTTCCTTTTTCTCTCCTTGGATACAACCATAATATCTGAAATGGAAAGAGTCATGGAAACAACACTGCAGTAGCAAAACAAAACAAAACAAACAAAAAGAAAACAGACAAAAGAATGGGTAAGTTGTTACGTTCACATAATGGGAGTACCATCCAGCATTGACAGTGATGAGCAGAGGCCACTCAGAATCTCCCAGGCACAAAGAAGGGTGGAGGGAAACTAGAAGCTGTTTTTTTTTTTTTTTTTTTTTTTTTTTT